ATACCGCACCGATGCCAACGTTGCTGCAACAGTTGGATAAAAAGACACACGTATCGCGATAACGCCCACGCATTCAAGAAATGCATTTCTTCATCTTAGAAATAACAATGTCATCTCGCTCTAATATTGCAAACGAAAGATATCTACGAAATATATGACGACGGTCGCGTACGCCAATTGGGCACGATTCCAAACTGCAATTCAGCATATTATATATCTTGCATTGCAGCTACTCAATAGAGTCAAGAAATATTTCTAACGAATGTCACGTGCTGATGTAATGATCGTCAATTGGACACGCCTTCCACACAGACAAGAATCGACAAGTTCCCCGCATCACCTGCAACAATTAGACACTCCTACATTGAATTTTAACAGACAACATGTCTCAGAGTCGGAATACATTTCTCGCTTAGACACTGCAACATTAAACTTCTAACAGTCAACATGTCTCGGGGTCGGTGTACATTTCTCGCTAAACCCTCCACTTTCAAACTTCATACGTTCGATTTTTTGTCAATGTCCTAGTCGCAAGGAACTAATCTCAACCGTCAACCACTCAAAAGGATATATAATAAATATTTTTTATTCACTTCGTATTCGAAAAATAAGTTTTAAATGTTATCTCTACTAATTGTGAATTTATTAACTGCTTATATAAATATCTTGAAATGAGAAAAGTCCACATAAATATTGATACAAATTTTCTTTTATTATTTAATTGGTATTTGATATACCAGGTAAAAGTATTCATTGAATTATAAATATCAAAACTACTGCGACCACATTAAACAGTCCGGACCTGATTAGGGCGCCATTTTGTTCCATCACAATTTGTCTTTTAGTACTTCATTATTTTGAATATTTGTATGGGACTTATGTCATCTCCTCTCCCTACTAACTCGATGTCTGGATTTATTTTTGCGAAAATTGGAACTAAAAAATCGATCGTTAAAAACAATTTTCGAAAAGAATCGATTATGAAAAAAAATTGATTGCCGAAAAGAATCGATTGTAAAAAAGGATAGACTGTAAAAAATTATACATTGTAAAAAGAACTCGATTATAAAAAAAGTACCGATTGTAAAAAAAGTATTGATTGTAAAAAGAATCGAACGTAAAGAGTCGACAGTGAATAAATTAAATAAGGTTAGGTATTTAAGGAAAAAAATGCGAGGAAATCCAATATATGTCATCATAAAAAATATGGGAAAATGTTTTAAAGAAAAGTTATAGGATTTACTTTTTTTGCATATTTCTAAAATACTGTGAAATATACAGGGTGTTTCGTTACATCGGGACAGCTGAAATGTTGCTTTTTAATTGACTCTACATATTTTTTAACCATTGATTTCAGCATAAAATTGTTACATTCCAATACGTATATTAAGTTTTTTTTTAATTTTGTAAAAAAATAATGAAAAATTGTTCATGACAAATATTACAAAAACTTCGTTATTGACAGTTAAGTTATAACATTTTATAAATGCAAAGATAAGGGTTAGCTGCAGTGTTATTTTTTATTATAATATAGGCCTTAAAAATGGCAGTTTTTGACAATTTTTTATTCTAATTGATAACTTTAAATAATAGAGATAAAAGCCACCTTGAATATAGGAAAAATCTAATTTTCACCAAAAGTAAATGGGCATCTATCCAGTTTTTCATTAAAAGATTTTAAATTAAATGCAACAAGCGTTTGTTTAAGTCAACCATGTTTATTTTAAGATTTAATATGCAATTTAATGATGTGCAAATTATTTATAGTTCCAATTGTATTAGTGGATTTTATTAAAACCAGAGCTCTGTTAATGGCTATCATGTTTCAATATATTATTTTCCATCTATTCAAATTGATATTGTGTTACCCATACAATTTATGTAACAGACATTAAAAATAATAGTATTCAAAGTATAGACATAAGCGAGTTGTATTTTGTGTCTCCATGGTTTCTTACATGGGGGGGGGACATTTATTATAAATACTGTATAAGTTTAGCAAAAAAGCTAGTAAAGAAAATAATATATAACAATGTATAAGAACAATCAACCTCTTATTGATGAACTTACACTTGACAAAAGTCAATCTAACAAAATTACTTAGGGCGTCTTTTTCAAATCCAAAAATTTAACTTATATAAATACCAAAAATGATATCGCTCATTTGCAAGAATACTGGCACAATTCAAAAACCATAAATTCTAACATTATTACACCAACATAATTGAAAAGGTACATTCTTTATATAGAAACAACTACACTTTGTTAATAAAATTGTAATTCTATTACTAGAATGCATCCACCCAAAGGTACTGATGAAGCTGAAATGTAGGCTGTGAAATTGAGATTTGTTTGTGTCATTTCTAATGTCATTATTTGATTTTTGTCAATTAGTGTACAATCTTTTCGAATTGTATTAGTTTATTACATGTTGTCCTAAGATTTAAAAAAATGCTGCATCAATATTCTAATCGAGAATACTGCGACATGGTATTTGTTTATAGTTTTTGCAATGGTAGCGCTTCATCTGCAAAAATTAAATACGAAAGAAGGTTTCCTGATCAAAAAACTTTTACTCGTATTTTTAATTAATTAAGTGAACATAGTACATTCCCTACAGTTAAAAACAATGAACACCAAGAAAGAAGATTTTTGAATAATGATAGTCAATATGGTAGAGGCTAATCCACAGATAAGTACCCGAAAAATTAGTCACCCTCTGAACATACCACATTCTACTGTTTGGAGGCGATTAAAGAAAAATGAAAAATAGGCCTATTGGGATAGTACCTCAATAAAAAACGCACCATGTATTCTACCTCTTGGTGGCGTGGAAACGAATACCATGTGGAAATCTTCAATTTTTTTTATGTAAAAATTAATTAAGTATTAAATGAATATGAATCATTTAAATTTTCTTAAGTACGGATCTGTAATTGTAATTTTTATTGGTTTGTGTGAATGTTACTTCAAATTCAATAAGTTTATTTCAGGAATTTCCATGAAATAGTTAAGTAAAATTAATTTTAATGAAGAAAAAAATAATTAAAATCCCTTCAACTACATTTTGCATAGACTGAAAGTCTCATAATGTACATTTTAACGTTAAATTTTGGTAGTAAAATGGCAAGCGAAAAAATAAAAAGTTGATGAATCTATTCAGTTTTTTATATTCTTTCCAAATTTGAAATTAATTTTTTTTAAATTTGATGTATAGGGTGTTGTTTTAGGGTAGGTCAAATTTTTATAATTTTTTTTTAAGCCGGACCTGGAATTTTGAAATTTTTTAATGTGACGATAAATTTTCCTAGAGGTGTAGATTATGTATGCCAAATAAAAAAAAAAAAAATACTAAGTGATTCAAAAGTTATGGATCAACAAAATTTGGGATAGAACATTTTTTACTAAATTTTGGTACAATTAAATTAGGAAGAACATTAAGAGCAAATTAAGTAATAATTATATAGAAGTGAAAATGTCTTATAGGGGTTATATAATCATGTAGAGAACAAAAATTATAGAGAATAACAACACAAGAAACTTTTATTTGAAGAATTTTTTTCTCCAAGCATAAATAATAGATATATTACATAAAGTAGAAAAACGACCCCCTATAAAAGACCCTCCCAGATGTTCTGCCTATATCCAAAATGTAATCATCTCACCAAAGGATTTATTAAAGTATAAGTTTAAAATGTGGTGTGTTTCTGTTTATCTGTATGAGTTATCGAGTATACAGATACACCACACAGACATCATCACGAAAATAGTCAAAACGGATTCAGGGGACCCCAAATAGTAAAAATACATCGAAAACTCGAGGTCTATACTTTCCTTATCTGTATACAGACAGAAAACGTAAAACTGGAACATAATTTGAAGGAAACGTAAGAAAGATACACCAGAAAGTATTTTTTAAATCTTAGACATAAATTCAAAAATATAAGGTCAATAGATGATATAAAGGCAAATCAAGCAATAGTATGGTTTGCAAGTAAAAAAATTAAATGAATTGCTTTGAAGACCTTGATAAATTATTAAACATTATTTGGGAGAGATTATCCAGACTAATGTAAAGGAAAAACTGAATTTAGGAAAAGGGAGGAAGTAATTGTAGCAATTATGTTCTATAATTATGTACAACAGCTCGATATCTAGATCCACCAATGACAGAAGGAGAAATAGTGATGTACATCTCTAGACATTTCAGGCCAGAGTTAACTGGATTCTAAAAAATAAAAACAATGAATGCATTCAGTGAAGGTTGAACAGAACTTAGAAACAATTCCAATGGATGGATCTAGAGGGGATATAAGAACAAGTAAATATAATAATTATGGAAATTATCACTTATAATCTCTCTAATGCTTGAATTATTACCAGAAGTTTTCGGTTATTAATTCAAGAACGAGGGAGATTCAGTAAGAAAATTTCATACCAATATATTTAACACTTTGAACAATTTGATGGCAAATGACATTTTAGAATTATAGTAGTCAAAGTGTTCTATGGAATATGAAATGTCATGATAAAATGTTATTTTATGAGGTTATTAAAATAGCTAATTTTTGTAAACTTTAATATCATAAAATATACTTTAGCAGATTCAGACCTTTTCAAACTTCAAATGTTACCTCAATTTGTATTACTAAAGTAAACAGAAGTACCTATAATTTGTTTCGAAGAAAGAAATTACCATAGAGACAATGAATAAAACAGTATGTCTAATCAAGTGACTAACGTCAAAAAATGTCCAGTGTAATCTCTTCCTGGGAAACCTGGAAGAAAAAAATTCCAGAAATCGATGTGATTGTCATGGCAATATGTCAAAATAACCTTTGATTGATCAAAAATTGATGTGAAATTTTCAGTAGGAGTTGATAAATATAATAGAAATAATAGTAATTTTTGTGTCTAATTATGGAAATCGATATTAAAAATGGTATAAACACTAATTTTGTAAATTTATAAAGGTACTTACAACATTATTAAAAACTCACCTGTTTGATTATATCTCAAATTTGCATTCAATGGACTATCAGAAGTCTGTACGGGTTGCTTTTTCTCGATACCAAATTTATCCAATATTTTTTTGGCCACCTTATAAGTTTCCGTTTCCATTACATTATCAATAATTTTCTTTTTTTCCTCTTTTAACTTTATGATCTTCTTTTCGTTTCGTTGCAACTTTTTACTATAATACCAGGTTAAAAATTTCTTTATGAACCATACTCTAGAAAAAAAAAACATTTTGAAAACAAATCCACTAAAAAAACAGATCAATAATAAATCAAATATTATATGAAAATGTACTTACATGAATGGGAAAGCTATGAGAGGTATAAAATACAGCAATTTACGATTTGTTTGTATTCTGTTATAGTATAAATACAAAATACAAGCTAGAACAAAGTAAATTGAAAAAGCGAGAATTATAAACCTGGCTATGACCTTTTTCCTGAATTGCTCGGTGCTTCTACCGAATTCTTCGATAGATGTTATTTCATTTTCCAGTTTTTCGAGAATCTCATAAGTGCTCTTCTTCTTCTAAAAATAATCGCCGTTATTATCAATGTTATCATTAAAACTAAGGGAAACTTACTCTAAATTTTCCTATAATTATCCCCATGTTGATCTAATTGTCTTTTAACGAATTAAATTAACCGGTTAGATATAAAATTTTGCCAATTTCCTATTCTAACCTGAAAATTTTTCCAAATATTTATTGTCGCTAAAGGACCACTATCTTTTTTACCGCACAACTGTATATATTAAAATGTATTTGTGTCCTTGTAAGTACCTTGATACCATGGTCTATAATTTCACGTTATTACATTTTTTGAAACCTTTTTCGAACATATTGTGGATTTCTTTACATACCTACACAAAAACTTCCATATAAATGTACAAATGTTTTGTGATTTCATCATAAAACAAAACATTAAAACAATGAGACAACTGACAACTGTCAGCTGTAAAATCACAAAAAAAAACAAATAGGTACGATCGGTTAGATAATTACTGAACAACTCGTGCACACTTTTAGCTCAGAAATACCCGTTTTGACCTGTCCAAATGATCAAAGTATGTGACCCCACTCCAGTTCTTTGTGGCAACCCTGTTAACAGGGTCAATGATACATATGACAATTGCTGCGTTTGAGAATCCACATCGGATGCATCTGAGATGTAAAAAATCTTTGATCACGTGATTCAGTATACGTAAATGTAATGGGACAGATGTGTCCGATGTGGATAAAAAAACGCTCGAGATGTAAAAAATGCATCCGATGTGGATTCTCAAACGCAGCAAATAGGGATATATTGTGATACATATATTGCTCAAAGCTGGTCGTTTACGAGCGGCCATATTGCCTGGCAAATATTTATTATTTATTTAGCAAAAATGTGTTTTAAAACCAATTTTTAGCCTTTAGATATTTAAAAAAAAATAATTGCTTACATTTTTACTTCAAGGCTTATGTTTATTTTGAAAAATATGGAGGAGCAATCTATGTAACTATCTTTAAACGGATCTTTAAAATACATTAGAGGACTATCTTAAAGAAATCTATTTAAATAATGACAGAAGTAAATTAACGAATACGAACATATTTTTAAAGGCCGCCAATATTTTTAAAGGCCGTTAAATATAAAGGAATTGTTACAAAAGGTATTTTCCTTTGCATCGAAAGTGTAGCACTGAGCTACTTCGAGCATGCTCGAAGCTGAGCTACGTCACTTCTGAAAATATCGTTCCGTCCATACAATTTAGGTCTTTTCCTTTGCATCGAAAGTGTAGCACTGAGCTACACCACTTCTGAAAATATCGTTCCATTTATACAAATTTTATGGATGGAACGACATATTCAGAAGTGACGTAGCTCAGTGCTACACTGTGGATGCAAAGGAAAAGACCTAATTTGTATATATGGAACGATATTTTCAGAATTGGTGTAGCCCAGTGCTACACTTTCAATGCAAAGGAAAAGACCTATTAAGGGCCCTATTCAGTAATTTATCGTTTATGGACGACATCGTTAAGCTAACGACAGTTCAGCCAACGACTTTTATAACGATAATTTTTGAAACTCTATTCAATAACAAAGTCGTTACGATGTTTCTAGTTACCAAATCTGAACGATGATTTCTAGTAAGTTGGTATTATAATTTAGTGTTTTATGATAAAAGAACGTATGTTGATGATTATACCGGGTGTTTAAATTAAAGTTTTACAGTTAAATATCGCCAAAAATATGCATTTTATAAAAAAAAGTATCAGACAAGAGTTTTATAGTTTTTTAGGGGAAACATTTTCGCTAAATTAATTTTTTTATAGCTGACCATAATATGGCCATATCGAAGTGGATTTTTTTTTCAAATTGGAACCCTATTTTTTTCTTAGAGTTCATAAAAAAATAAGAAACTTCTAAAGGAAACATTTTTTTTTATTGGATTTCTACTTATTGAGTAACACCTACTTGAACACCCGGTATATTTGACATTTTTTTGGAACGTAAAATAAAAATTCAACCAGTAGATATATTCATTTGTTTTTCATAATATATTAATTATTGTTCTTAACCTACAACACGATCAGGGGGTCGATTCTCGATTCGTAGGAATTCTGTTTCACGCGGGCCATTTTTGCTGGTCGTATTGTATGTAGGGTTTATTTAAATGAGTATGGATATATTAAAAAAAACTGAGAACTATTCCAAAAGAATACAAAAATACAACTCGAGAACAGTACAAGTTGTATTTATTGGATTTGAAAGACAAACCAAATTTATTAATTTATCAATCCTTTTTCCTGATTATCTTTTCTGTTGATGTCATCGGCTTCGACAACTCAGGCCATTAGCCCCGTTTTCTGTGTAGGTTACGGAGAAGTATTATTTAGGTATAATAGGTACTTCCATAATATAGGTTTTGTTACTATTTCGCAGTGCTACTTTAGGAACAGCACTGTTAATAAGAATCCAATAGTAAATGGTCGAATGGGCAATCCTAACTTTGAATCAGATTTATTTTTAAAATAATTAAATAAATTAGAAACAAATTCCTTACAAATTGTACTTGCTGTATCAGGTAGATGGCAATTTAGTTGTAAAATTTGTAAAAAAAGTGCTTTTATTATTTAGAACACATCCTGATTCACAATGAAAAATGAGAGGGAATGCAAAAATCACTATAACGACACTTCATATTATTAACGACAGCTCTGTGGCTATCGTTGATGAACGACAATTTTACAACCATATTTGTCTATTTTCAACGACAATCGTTGTCTACTGAATAAGAAAAGTCGTCTGTGAACGATTATCGTCTATTAACGACGTCGTTCAGAGTTACTGAATAGGCCCCTTAGAGATAAAAATTTTAAAGTGACGTCTTGTATTACTTCGAATAAAAAATCCTTTTCTAACCGAAGAAAAAAGTTGAGTTGGGCCTTAAATTGCTAAGCGAAGTTTAAAATTACATTTTTACATTAACAACGGGTCCTATGATTGAACGTTTACGTTATCCGTAACGTACATGTTAGGCCGAGTTTTAACAGTAATGAGGCAAGTTCGTATGATGGAAAACCTTTTCCAACACGTTACTGTTATTTTCCGCCTGTTATCTTCTAATTTAACAGTTTTCCATCATCCGAACTTGCCTCGTTACTTTTAAAATTCGGCCTAACATGTACGTTACGGATAACGTAAACGTTCAATCATAGGACCCAATGTTATTTTAATATTTGTTTAGGACCGATTCCACCGTTGTGTTAAACGAAGATTAAAATGATGTTGTTAATGTAAAAATGTCATTTTAATCTCCGTTTAACACAACGGTGGAATCGCTCCTTAGTAATTTAAACTTCCTTAACACAACGGTGGAATCGGCCCTAAGTAATTGTCAACAATTGTACAAAACAAAGTTCTATTAATTAATTTTGTAGATTGTTGCTTCATATTACAGGACCGTTTCATTGTTACTATTTATAAAATGTTAATTAAATTTGTAAAAAAACATGATTAGAATCTCAACTAAAAACTAAACATGAAGATCAAATTTCTAAACCGGTTCTGTAAATGATTTGTGAATGATCAATCTATAGTAACTATTACATATCATTGAGTAAAAGTTTCTTCTTATTGGTTTTTATTTTTTGACAGGCCTTTTACTTAAGACAGGCCTTTTACTTAGTTTCCTATTTAAAAACTAACCAAAAAAATGTTTTTCTCTCAACTCCTGGCTCTACAGTTATAGTCCAGTCTCCTCCACCCATTCAAAACCCAAATCTTATTTTTTATCACATCTAATTCATGAACTTTGATTTGGAAAAAAATAACAAATAAAGCGATAAAAATATTGAAGTTCTAGTGTTTCAATTTAGTGAAACAATGTCTGTGATTCTTGAAAGTACCAGAGATGGTGTAAAAACCATCAAAATAAATCGACCTGAAAGAAAAAACGCTCTTAATTCAACAGCTTACAGCACAATAACAAACATTCTAAACAAAGACGCAACAAACGACAAAATCGTCGTAACAATTTTAACAGGTATTGGAGATTATTTCACCAGCGGTAATGATTTAGCATCAGCAATGTCCGAAGAAACAGAAGTAGCATTAAACCGTGTAGAAAACATGGTAAAAACTATTATTAACTATCCAAAATTGCTTATTTGTGTTGTGAACGGGCCAGCTATAGGAATTGGCGCTACTTTAGTCACCCTATGTGATGTGGTTTATGCAAGCGATAAAGCAATTTTTGATCTTCCATTTATGAAATTGGGTTTAGTTGCAGAAGGTTGTTCAAGTTACAATTACCCGTTGATTTTAGGAAAAAGTGTGGCATCAGAAATGATATTTTTCGGTCGAAAACTAACTGCACAAGAAGCTCTTAAATTGGGTTTAGTTTCTAGAGTTATTCCTCATATTCAATTGCCCAGTTTTGTTGATAGTTTGCATCAATATGGAAAACTCCCTGTAGAAAATGTTAAGAGGAATAAAGCAGTAATTATGGATAATTTTAGAGATGTATTTGTACAAATCAATAGAAGAGAGTTTAAATATCTTAAGGAAGCTGTATATTCTGAGGATTTTGCGAAAACAATTGCAAATTTTTTAAGTAAAAAAAGTAAATTGTAAAATTTGATTTAAACATTTATATTTTGTTTATATAATATAAAAATTCATGGACATTTGATTTCTTATGCAAATTCACTATTTTTATGTAAATACAATTATATTTTTATTGAAAATAAATAGGTAATAGGATTCCTAAATAAAAAAGTTAATTATTGCAATTTAGTAATGAAATTATGATTACAGGTGACTTATTTTACCTAAAATTCAAATTTCTTACATATATAATCTTCACAAAAAGTATCCCATCATTTTGTTACTTTGTATAATTTAATTTTTGTAGAAATTATTTTCATTAGTTTTACCAGTTATTTTTTTATTTTTGTGCGAAATGCAGTTTTGCCCATAGGTGACATATGAAAGTCTCTACTTTACAAGTTGAAATTCGCCAGAAATCATCAGATAGAACAAAATACGAGCATAGCGAGAAAACGGCTCGCCAAGAGAAATTTTTTAAAAATCTGGCGACTTTTGTGCGTGACTACGAAAAAATCACTTTAATAAAAAAAAAGGAAATTTTACTATTTTTTTTATATCTAAATAAAATTAGGTGCAAAATATATAGAAACTTAAAAAATATAGCATGCATATTTATTTAATACACCTACATATTTTTTAATAAACATCTAACAAAACAAAAATACAAATCTAAAAAAATAATTTCTATTCGATAAATAGAGTTGGTTAATATTCTTTCTTTTAAACATAGGTATTTATCACAGATGAATGTGGAATTAAATGAAAATTAATCGTTTTAATGACTATCACGTTTGGATGCTATCCTAACGTTTTTCAAATTCAAATTTTACAACTCTCAAACATGTCAGAATTATAGACCTTTACTTTTATGTTCGATTGCACACCGCATCTCCTTTTTCATTGCTAGAAGAGGTATTTTCCTTTGCATTGAAAGTGTAGCACTGCACTGAGATACACCACTTCTGAAAATATCGTTCCATTTATACAAATTGTATGGATGGAACGATATTTTCAGAAGTGACGTAGCTCAGTGCTACACTTTCGATGCAAAGGAAAAGACCTACTGAGTTAATGGATTCGGGAACCCCAGTGACTGCATACGGGCATCATATGGAGATGTTCCTTTAATTTATTCATAAAGCAATAGATGACAGCACAAATAGGAAGTAAAGATACAAGAAAACACAAGGAGACATACTTGCGATTGCGTGCGTGTGATAAAAAAAATATTTAGGCAACCTTTAAAACAGATTATGATCAAGTGCTGAATTTAATTTTAGTTTTGGTTTTGAATCGATTTCCTCGAAAAATAACAAAAATATGAGTGTTTAAGAGCAAACCGAACACCTTGAAAATTTATAATTCATTCTGAGCCTTTATTTTTTGTTCGATTTTTGTGAAATTTTCAGGAAATACAACCAATAACACAATATAGGGTGGAGAAACCTTGAATTTTTTGTAAACCTTCGAAAAATGTTTATTTTGAAAAATTTTAAAAGAAATTTCAATAAAAACATTTCCGCGCCATTCTGTATTAAATCTATGAAAATTTTCTGCTTTTTGTTTTAATAAGTATCTAGTAGTTTTTAAATTATATGCTTTTCCGCCTTTTTTTTCTAAAAAAGTCTCTGTAGGGTGTTGCCTTATCGTTACACAAATTTAAAGCTCTTAATATTGTCAAGACATATCAATATCACGAACTATTCCAAATGGCACGCATAAATACAATTTTATATTAGAAAATCCTTAAAACATTTTTGCTTTCGCGAGAGAGCGAACCGAACACCTTGAAAATTTATAATTCATTCTGAGCCTTTATTTTTAGTCCGATGTTTGTGAAATTTTCAGGTCATACAACCAATAACAAAACATAGGGTGGAGAAACCTTGAATTTCTTGTAAAACTTCGAAAAGTATTTATTTTGAAAAAATTTGAAAGAAATTTAAAAAACATTTCCGCGCCATTCTGTATTATATCTATGAAAATTTCCTGCTCTTTGTTTTAATAAATATCTAGTAGTTTTTAAATGATATGCTTTCCCGCCTTTTCTTCTTAAACGTTTCTGTAGAGTGCTATTGTAGCACAAATTTAAAGTTCTTTTTCAAGACATATATCACGAAGTATTCCCAATGGCACGCATATGCCTAAATACAATTTTATATTAGAAAATCCTTAAAACATTTTTGCTTCAGCGAGAGGTCCGGTTTCCTCTTAAACTATCGATAATTACTAAAAACAATCGATAGTTTTCGATAGTAACAAACTATCGATATAGTATCCGACCACTGTCCACTACTAAAATTAAACACACTCCTGTATTTTTCCACAATGATAAAGCGATAAAAATATTAAGTTCTAGTGTTTCTATTTTCTATTTAGTGAAACAATGCCTGTGATTCTTGAAAGCATCAGAGATGGTCTGAAAACTATCAAAATAAATCGACCTGAAAGAAAAAACGCTCTTAATTCAACAGCTTACAGGGAACTAACAAAAATTCTGAACAAAGATGCTACAAACGACAAAATCGTCGTAACAATTTTAACAGGTATAGGTGATTATTTCTCCAGCGGTAATGATTTAGCACCAGTAATGTCCGAAGAAATAGAAGTATCATTAGACTGTATAGAAAACATGGTAAAAACTATTATTAACTATCCAAAATTACTGGTTTGTGTTGTGAACGGACCCGCTATAGGAATTGGGGCTACTTTAGTCACCCTATGTGATGTGGTTTATGCAAGCGATAAAGCAATTTTTGATCTTCCATTTATGAAATTGGGTTTGGTTGCAGAAGGTTGTTCAAGTTACAATTACCCATTGATTTTAGGAAGAAGTGTGGCATCAGAAATGATATTTTTTGGTCGAAAACTAACTGCACAAGAAGCTCTTAAATTGGGTTTAGTTTCTAGAGTTATTCCTCATATTGAATTGCCTAGTTTCGTTGATAGTTTGCATCAATATGGAAAACTCCCTGTAGAAAATGTTAAGAGGAATAAAGCAGTAATTATGGATAATTTTAGAGATGTATTCTTACAAATCAATAAAAGAGAGTTTAAATATATTAAGGAAGCTGTATATTCTGAAGATTTTGCAGAAGCAATTGCAATTTTTTTAAGTAAAAAAAGTAAATTGTAAAATTTGATTAAACATTTAGGTGTATTTAATTTATAGATAAAAATTCATGGATATTTTAGGCAAATACACTATTTTTATGTACATACAAATATATTTTTATTGAAAATAAATAGGTAATAGGATTCCTAAATAAAAAAATTAATTATTGTAATTTTGTAATACAGTTACAGGCGAAACAATATCTAACAACTTACTCCTCTTGATAGGACACAACTAAAATTCAAATTTCTTACATATAAACTTCGCAAAAAGTATTCTATCATTTTATTACTTTGTACAGATTGTCTGCTTTGTATAATTTTTGTAGAGGCGATTCAAAATTGGGGTTTGAGTTTGCGCAGTATCTGATTTGTCATTTGTGAAAATGATTTGAAAATAAATGTTACATTTAAAAACAATTTTTGGGACGATTAACCGCGTATTGTATAACCCGCCGTTATTGTTTTTCTGAAAACATTTATTTTCAAATTATGTATTACCTTGTTTGGTACCTACTGCGCAAACTCAAAAAAACTCAAATTTTATTCCCCTTCATTGCGTTCGGTTTGCCACGTTCCTTTAACACTTTTAACTCCTAACGACTCTTTTAGCGTTCGGTTTAGTCCGATTAGTGACAGTTTAACACGCTTAAATGTCATTTAAAAGCACCCTAAAATTTGTCCCGCTCCAGCCCCTGACTGACCGAACTCGCCTCTTGTAGGAACGTTTTTGTAAACTTCCAAATCCATTCTCCTAATTTCAGTTCTGCGGTCATACGTCATATCAACCGCTTATGAAACTTGTTTCTCTGCTTTTGAAATTTGAAACATGTTTGAGGACGACACCGACCTTGATACTAAACTTAACATAAACCCTACTCCTAATTTCTAAGCCGACATGGGTCTGTGCGCATGACAATTTGGACTCTAGACTGTCAATTTCGAGCATTCTACGTCACGTTTTCCATGGGCGTACTGCGTCAAATAATATTATTTTTTATTTGTAACGCGCTATTTTAATAATTATTATTATTGGAACATTTGTTTCAACTGCGTATTAATCAAAAATCAGTTTTACGTGATTTTCTTAAATTAAAAGGTGTCATAGTTGAATGTAATAAGCGTTAAATTTAATTTTGATGATCCTTTTTAGTGCATTTCGATACGCACACGTGGGCGCCAAAGTGTCAAATATCACCTCGCTATGCGGCTTGATTTTGTTGATCGGCTTTGTTTTTCCACGGACGACGATGAACACGAACACGGCCATTGTTTACACTTGGCAGTAGCCAACATAAAAAAAGAAATCTTCTTTTTTTAAGGCCCCTTACCATATTATTAGTGCGGTGGAAATGAACGAAATGAAAATTGATATTTTCCATATGATTTTGACAAGTAGAAAATTAAATTTGAAATTATTTGTTTATGTGAACTGTGATCTTTAATATCGATAAATAACATTATATTGTGTTGGGATGATTCAAAATACAAAGAATTCAAAGCTTATATTTCAGAGTATACAATAACAATGTCTTCTACAGAAAATTTGTATGTAAGTTATAACAATTAGGTGATTAACATGTTTTTTATGTAATTTTTTGTAGAAAATGAGACCTCCTCCTCCACCAAATTTAAGTAAAGAACATGTTGGCATTTGGGTAGGGTGGAATTGCAAAGGAGACAAAGAAGTAGCAAGGGAAGCAGCAGCTAAAGGTATAGCTGTAGACCTTGTTGTTTTATTTTTGTCTCAGAGAAAACAAATTGGGTTGGAAGAAGCTGAGAACTATTTTAGAGACGAAGTAAGTAGATAATAATAGCTTCATTGTAAAAATCTTGCTCTTATTTAATTAAATTAAAATGTAAAGGTTTCAAAAGTATTTAGGTACAATTGTTATTTTTTTGTAATTTGGCTAATTTTGATTCATCACAATTTCGCATCATGAAAACTGATGTTTTCACTAGGTTTTCGTATGGGCCAAAGAACTATTAGACAGAAAACAAATATTCAAAGTGTCTCATATACTAACAAACATTGGGGTCGACCCACAAGAAGAATTAACAAAAGTTTTTTATACCACGACGAACGTAGAACTTCGCGAATACATAGGAAACCATTTGAACAGCCAAAAGAAGTTGGACGAACATTATCAGCAACTGTGGCACTTTTTAGAGGTCATTTTGAGAAACAACTTGCTGATTTCTAAGTGGAAGTTGAACGTGGATAGTATTGAATGTTTGAATAAGCAGGAACCTGAATGGAAGTGTGAAATTGCTTCTAAATTGTTTTTGAGAACTTATGGTGAGTAATAAAATCATTAATTTTATTAAATCAGCATTGATTCAGCAGGTTATTTTACTACTAGCCAAAATAATACTGATTATTAAATTTAGTTATGGCTGGTCTCTGAAACAGTAGATATGTGTCTGATAGACTGACCAGAGATATAACTAGAAAAAGTTGGTTTCTGAAACACACAAGTATTCAAGATTATTTCCCTTGTATCTGTTCAAGTATATCAAAGTAGGGAGTGAAATCTCAACAAAAACAAATTAAAATTCATAGGAAAATATTGTAGTACTAATCAATTCTAATAAGTAAGAACAACTACCATAATAATCAAGATGTTATCCTGGTATCTAATCAGGTATATAACAAAAGTGAAATCTCAACATCTCTGCTAAAATAACACAAAGATTTTCTAATTTCAAAAGCAATTCTACCTGTTTGGGTCTCTCGATATTATGGAGGCCTTAGAATGTAAATGTAAGTACTAAAAGTATACTTCTTCTGTAAATTTTAATTTGATATGTTTTTTTCTGGCATTCTATAAAAAATGTTTTCTAATTTAGAGGGTGATTTCTACCCCTTTCGATCTCTAAAGATTGTACCGTTTTCAGAACGTGATCACACATACTAAAAACTAAAACTGTACCTATTTTTCCTGTAAATTTTAACTTGATACATTTTTATGGTTCTCGATAAAAAAATATTTTCTAATTTAGAATTCTATTTTTACCTCTTTGGATCTCTTGAAATCATAATGGCTGCAGAACGTTATTTATGTACTTAAACTGTACTTCTCCCATACATTTTTACTTGATATGTTTTTTCTGGTTCTCCATAAAACATATTTTCAAATTTAGAGGACAGTTACTTCCCCTCTGAATTTCTCGAATTTATAGAGGCCTTAGAATGTGATTGTACATACTAAAAGTATACTTTCTCCATAAATTTTAATTTGATATATTTTTTCTGGTATTCTATAAAAAATGTTTTCTAATTTAGAGAGTGGTTACTACCCTTTTGGATTTTTAGAAATTATAGAGGCCTTAGAATATGATTGTCGAGATGATTGTACGTACTAAAAGTATATTTTTTGCGTAAATTTTAATTTGATACGTTTTTTCTGGTATTCTATAACAAAAATCTAATTTAGAGGGTGGTTTCCACCCCTTTGGATCTCTAGAAATCATACCGGTTTTAGAACGTGATCGCACATACTAAAACTGTACTTTTCCTGAAAGTTTTAACCTGATACGTTTTTCTGTTTCTCGATAAAAAATATTTTCTAATTTAGAGGGCAGTTTCAATCCCTTTGTATATCTAGAAATCATAATGGCTTTATAACGTGATTTTACATATCCACCCTGTACCTCCCCGTAAATTTATTCTATTCTTTTCTTTTGGCCCTCCATAAAAAATATTTTCTATTTTAGAGGGCAGTTTCCACCCCTTTGGTTCTCTCGAAATTATATAGACCTTAGAATGTACTTTCTCCATAAATGAGTTTTCTAATTTAGATGGTGGTTTCTACCTCTTTGGATTTCTAGAAATCATAGTGGTTTTAGAACTTGATCACACATACTAAAACTGTACTTTTCCTGTAAGTTTTAACTTGATACGTTTTTTCTGGCTCCCCATAAAAAATATTTTCTAATTTAAAGGGCGGTTTCTACTCTTTCGAATCTATCAAAATTATAGAGGCCTTAGAATATTGTACTATTAAAAGTATACTTTCTTCGTAAATTTTAATTTGATACGTTTTTTCTGGTACTCTATAAAAAATATTTTCTACCCCTTTGATTTCTCAAAGTCATAGCGGTTTTAGAACGTCATCACACATAATGAAACTGTACTTTTTCTGTAAATTTTAAAATGATACGTTTTTCAGGTTCTCAACAAATATTTTCTAATTTAGAGGACTGTTTTTCCCCTTTGAATCTCTCGAAATCACAGCGGCTTTATAACGTTATTTTAGATACTGAAACTGTACTTTTCCTATACATTTTAACTTAATACGTTTTTTCTGGTTCTCCATAAAAAATATTTTCTAATTTTGAGGGCAATTTCTACCCCTTTGGATATCTCGAAATTATAGAGGCCTTAGAATGTGATTGTACTAACTAAAGGTATACTTTCCCTGTAAATTTTAATTTGATACGTTTTTCTGGCACTCCTATAAAAAATATTTTCGAATTTAAAGGGTGGAAATCATACCGGTTTTAAAACGTGATTTTATACATTAAAGCTGTACTTTCCCTGTTTGGTTACAACGTCTTTAAAGTTCTAGGTGGTTCTGGTGTTAGACTGGAATTTAGACATGGATATTAGCAAATCTGTAACTGTCATGTACATTTACGGATTTGTTACTACCCATCTCTAAATTCACGCGATATAACGGAACGTTCAAGGACGACTTACCCAAGTCCGACTCAGCTGAGTTTTGTTTATAAATACGGACCTTAGAGGGTTGTTTTGAACCCTTTGGATTTCTCGAAATTATAGGTTTTGTTTTGGTTCACGTTCGAGAATTGTTCCAGCACTATGCGCAGAACTATTGCGCAATGGTCCTTAATTCTGAACAATTTATTTGTACTCGAAACCAAAACACTGCCTGGGGGTCGATTCTCGACTCGTAGGAATATTTTCCTATAGGAATTTTTGACATTTTTATATACATCGAAAATTTATGACAGTTTCCTACATATAGGAAAGTGTCACAAATTCCTATAGGAAAAGATTCCTACAAGTCGAGAATCGACCCCCTGGGGGTCGATTCTCGACTTTTATTCCCATGGGAAAATAAAATTTTCCCATGGGAATTCAGTTTTCGTATTCTCGACACAAGCGGTGGAATATTTTCCAATGGGAAAATATTCCCCTGCTTACGAGCATTGGAAATTGTATTTTCCAATGGGAATTGTACTAGAGTTTGCGCATTAAAGTCGATGAAAATTTGACGAAAGACCACGCGAAAGTCTAAGACATAACCAAAGATTGTTGGATATTGGATATCTTGTATTTGTAGTGAAATTGTAGTTAAAACATTTTTTTGGCGTATTTATAGATTGATATTATTTTATTTATGTAGGTATATTATTTTTAATTCTCTTTCACTAAGAAACTGTATAAACTGATTTTCCTAAATCATTTAGAAATTGTGGGAGCTGCTAAGGGACTGGCAAATAACACAAATTGAGTGTAGTAAATTTAATAAGACCTTTTCGAAAATTTTATTATTTTCGTTAATGAAAGAATTTCTTAGTTTCTCAAAACTTTCGTTGTTCTTCCATACAAAAGCTACCTTTTCTTTTTTCAACATGAGAAAAGAAAAACTAAGAATAACAAGTTTTAATTATTATACGTAATCGAATATTTTCACTTATTCTCGATCATGATAGCGATTGCTCGGCAGGGCATCTGCTCCAGCGCGGAGGCTCGGCAGGTAATCGGATACCCAAAAACCACAACAAATACAAATATTGCCAACAGTAAATTTTAAAATATCTTTAATGTTATTGGTTGTTTCGAAATATTCGTGAATTTAATATCAGACATACGTGAAACTACTATTTCCATGGGAATGTCTATTCCGACACGTTCGAGAATTGCATAACCTATTACCATGGGAATATAAGTAGTGGAATATTTTCTCATGGGAAAATTTTCCAATGATCTCGAGAATCGAGCCCCAGAACGCAGTTAAATATCAAAAAGTAAATTCAAATAAAAAAGAAATAACACGGGGTCAGTGTCTAAGTAAGAAAGAGGCCATGTAATATAACATATCAACTAATCTACTGTTCCATTCTCATTTGTCATTCTAAAATTCCTTGTAAAAAATCCAACACAAAACAGCATCCCAAAAACAACAATAATTTCAAAAAAGCTCAAACAGTTCTCGCTTTGGGTCAGAACCACGATGAAACTGCGCATGCTCCAAAGGTTCTGGAACAGTTACGAAAGTGAACCAAAACAAAGCTTAATAGCGTCTTCGAATCTAGTGCACGACTTGCACTGAGTGCATGTGAAAGGTGGGAAATATGTCAATATCAGTTACTTTTCAATCTGAAATGTAACCGGTATCGATATATCACTCATCTTTTATGTGCACTCCACGCAGACAGGGCGGTGTAATCGAAGACGCTATTAGAAAGTGATTAAAACTGTACTTCCTATCTAAATTTTAACTTTATATGTTTTTTCTGGTTTCCATTGAAATAATTTCTAATTTAGAGGGCTGTTTTTACCCCTTTGGGTTCCATATAAATTTGGTCAAGATCTAATAATTAGGTCCATGAGAAAATTAGAAAACACAATTTGTAATGGTATTTGCAGGATTTTAGAGTCGGTTTTTTAAAATTATTTTTATAACTTGTATAATTTGTTTTAGATATTTTACTAATATCGTTCATTACCGGAGAAGCCCTATGGAAGCAGCTTTTAGCCTACAACGATACGAAACTTCTAAAAGTATGGATCAGCGTCTATTACAGCGATTCTACCGGCAATTTCGATATCTCAGAAAATCTATTGAAAGTTTTCAAATCGTTTTCTATAACAATCGAAATGATAAACCAATTGAACTCCTCTGAAACATCGGCCAACACTTGCAACTTGGTCCTGAATGATCTGAGCAGATTCGGCGTTTTTTGCGATAAAGATTCGGAAAACTTTTTAAAGATTCTTTGGAGATTGTATCAAAGCAACAACATTCAAAATACGTTTCAAATAATAAGAAGAACCACATCGAATATATCGGAGAAGCATTTTTTGACACTGCTGGTGAACTACTGCGTCGAAAATAAGTATCACAGCATTATGAGCAGTTGCGTGGAGAATTTCGATATTTTCGAGGATTGTATCAAGGATAATAAACACTTAGAGTTAATTTTGGATTTTAGGAAATTGATTCATGAGTTTAATGAAAGGAATTTGAGGAGTAACATTTTGAAAGTGTCACAATTTTTATCCGATGACCTGGAAGATTATTTAAACGAAAATGTGATGATTGTATTATCATTGATTTTTTTCTCGGATAACTCCGATATAGAAAAAATAATGCAGCAGGAATGTCTAATAATCGGAGACGTAACTTTACGAAAATGTTTAAAAAATCTACCTGCCAAATTAAGATCGTTAAGTGCTTGCATGAACCGACCTCAAATTATAGAAAATTCGAAAATTACGTCGTACAATCTTTTAGAAAAACATCACAAAATCAACGTTAAAAAACTCTTCTCGTTCAGGTTCGAAAATAAACCTTTACCCGATTTCAACAACGAAGATTTGGTAAAAAAATTCGGTTATCTTAAAAAAATTAATCATCTATTTTTCGTGAAGCAATTCAGACCGAGCATTGCCGCCAAATTGTTCCTATTGAACCAGTACGAGTGTCATAATGATTTTCCGCAAGGCAGTATGGAGCAGTTGCAAAGAAAAATTTATAAAATCGTTCTAAGAGACTTCACGAATTCAGAAATCGTTTCTAGTTGCGTCGCTTTCTTGGAAATGATCGGAATTAAATCGGATTTCATTAAAATCGCTGTTAGAGCAGCTAATTTAATATTAGAAGCGGGTACATCACTCCAAGATGTCACAACAATGTTTATGAACGTAGAAACCAGTCCCAACACTATTCTATCAATCTTAGAACCGATAATCGTTAAAGAAATCGAATTTGACAGATTTTCAGACGGTTCCTACTTAATAGAAGCGATCAAACTATACGATATCGCCGTTAATTTCACTATTTTCTACGATTTGAAATTACCGGAGATGTTTTTAAAATCCTGCGCCACCATGAACATGTGGTTGCCGTTTTTTATTTTTGCGCAGCTTAAAAACTATCCGACGGAACAGATCAAACCGATTTTACAATCATTCAAAAATCCGAATCTATTGGAACACATCAATCACAGTGTCGTGCACGATATCCAGATCGACGATCAGAACGTTTTGATGCGCGAAAGAGATTCGAGAAATTATTTTCTGTCTAGGATTGGAGTTAGAAAGAGTTTGGAGGCTCTGAATCAAAGCGATTCGATTTATAGTATAACGTCGCAATCAAGTTACGGATCGAATAGTAGTTCGGGTGGATCCGATTTTTTAGAAATCGACATTTCTAATACGAAAGCGACGTTGTTGCAAACTTTGATCAGGTGCCATAATAGTACGGATCCGCCGAGGGCGTTGTTGCAGGCTTGCCAGTTGTATAAGAACCCGTTGTTGGCGATTTTCGCCACAAGTTATGAGGTAAGTCTAAAAAATTAATAGTAAAAAATATTTTTAAAAACAAGCTTTTATAGGTCCGTCATATTGAATTTAGAGTGACATCATTTTATTTTTGTATTCTTCTCAGCAAAACCTTTGATTTGATACCCATATCATATCAGATAAAACAATCAATTGTCCAATAATAATAATAATAATAATAATATGCGAAGACGCATGCTCTTAATAAGCGGAGAAGAGCTCTCAGTCGATTAAAAATATAATTAATCTAGTGAAAATTATTATATAAAAATCAGAAATTGAATATAAATCGGTAGAGGCGAAAATTCCTAATAAACAGTGAGAAGCTCTAATTCAATTAACAGTATAATTGAATCTAGTGAAAATGTGTATATAAAAATAAGGAATTAAATAAAATTCGGTAAAGGCAGAAATTCCTAATAAACAATGAGAAGCTCTAAATTAAATAACAGTATAATTAACCTCCAGAATATATATTTACAAAAGGGAAGCCTCGAGGGAATACATAAACAAAATAAAATTAAAATAAAATAAATATGTAAAACGGTATTCCAAATAAAAGCTAGTTACCAGTATAACTAACGTGTCCGAAGTAATTACAAAATCAACAGGTTGAATATGAATAATGTCGTTCCCACATCGTAAATTCTTCACTCGGGCATTACTATCGAAAAATCAAATTTATTATCCTCGCGATAAATTAAAAAAAAAAATCGACGCTAGTAGAGCAGTGTTAGCCCAGCGGAAAAATAAAACTTTGCGAAAATTCACATATTAAAGGATTATTTTCGAAGGTATGTGGTTTACTACAGTTGAAACAGTGACGGATAAAAGAGCAACGTTACCTCGTGATCAACGATAGTGCATTAAAAATTTCACTGATTGCCGGAGTAATAAAGAGTCTATTGATTCAGGAAACCTTGAATCATTTTTTTATGAAATAGGATAAAACACTGTATAATAGTGTTGTTAAAGACGTGCTACTCAAGCAGTTAAAATTAAAGTGTTAAACATTGTTTTTCTTTATAAGTCAGCTCTTAAACATTAATTTTTATTTATTTCCTCATTTACTGGGTTTGTGGGGAAATACGAGCACAGTTTGGCCATTCTAAAAACTTAGTTGGCGCCCTTTCAATTTGTCTACTATTTCCGGAATTATTGCAAGCTATCCACCCCCTATGTACCGTCTGACCGACGTCGAAGGCTTGAAGGTTGACACCTGAATAACATAAACTTATGCAACCAAGTAAACAAAATTTTATTGGTAAATTCTTTTTAAGTGCAGTTTTATGCAGTTTCCTTTACTGGAAGTTGCAGAGTTCATTTGGTAGGTTACATATCTACATAGATCTATCAGCAATTTTATTTTAACCTAAATGAATTAAAAACGTAAAACTAAGAAGTCACCTATTAGCGTCTATTTTCTTGTTTTATTTTCTTCCTTATTGTGCTAAAATTTAATCTAAAACTTGCACTATTTCACTATGCTCTGCTTTTTAGACACTTTCACTATTAACTCACAGATCTGAAAGTTTCTTCAATCATACTTCTATTTTATGCTGGTTGAGCATCTGAAGCGTTTTTTGTGCAGAAATCCGGTATGGATTCCGGGTACTGCTTCTACCTTTCTCTGGAAGTGTGGGACTCATTAAAACTCTACCCCTCCTTCCGAACCTGCATTTTACTCTGCTTGTGTAACGTGCACATTTGATCGCTCGTAATTCTTAATAGTAAATTGGATGTTCCTCTTTCTAAGTGAACAAAATAGACAAATGTTCTCTTAGTCATGGTATAAGATAGTTTATGGTATACTGTGATATTGTAAAAAGGTAGAAATTAATATTCTATTTAATATTTTGTACATGTTGTCCTTCGCCTTGGTACCAATGCTATTGATGGACTTTTTTTTTTGGACGGCCACCGTGGACACTGTTCTAAAAGCACTCGTTACTCCAAGTAACGCCTTTCTTTGTGTGCTGTTCATTAGGGTTTCGTACTTTCCCATTTTTAGTGCTTCATACCTATGAATGTCCCATATAGTAATCGATGGTAGCTTTTTTATGAAAGAAAGTTAATAATTATTAAATTTTTAAATTTCAGCCCGATTCGATCCACACTAATTGGTTAACCTGGCTTGCAGTTTCTTGCGGTTTATACGAGATGTTTACGAATTTCGAATCGGTAGCCTTAAATTCGGCATCAGTCACGCAACTCCTGAACGAGTGTATGAAAAACCGTTTTCCCAACACTCTGCTACAAAGCTTCGAAATTTTTCTACCAGTAAGTGTTAATCCATTGCCGCGTTTAAATATCCACATCGGATGCATCTGAGATGTTGTGAATTTTTTATCAAGTGATAGAAGATTAGATCTGAATGTAGATGTAATAAACAAACGCTCTAGACTTTATTGGTCACGTGGTAAAATGACAATGACAAATTAGAAGTTTATATTTTTTAAATTTGACTTTTGAGACTGGAAATCAACCTAAATTTATATTCCAAACAAAAATTAAACACACTAATCACAGAACACCTACTTTCTGGCATGGAACGAATATCTCATTCACATTCATTTCAAATCGAGATGTAAAAAATGTAATCTGGACAGCTACATCTGGGATAAAGAAACGCAAATGCAGATGGAGTAAATGTGTCCGATGTGGATAAACAAACGCTCGAGATGTAAAAAATGCATCGGATGTGGATATTCAAACGCGGCACATATTATGTTTTGGCAGTTGATGGTGACAATTGCCGTTAACAGTTGACGTTGACAGTTCTGTAGTCGAAAGATAAAAGGGCATGAGTCAATTTTTGGTGATATTGAATTATATAATAATAACTAACATGAATAAGTTATTAGTTATGACTAATATTTAAAATTATGCAATATATTGCTAAATTAAGTTTAAGCTTTTCAACGCAGGTTCTCCTGAAAAGTAACAAAATTAAACGTACGCACTTTTACCTTTCGACCAAAGATATATAACCACATACTTTGATTACTATACGGTGCAAGAGAGAGGTCCGACACGCCCAACATAGGGCGCGGCCATTTTGATTCCTATGCCACAGTTTATAGCTAAAGAATCAGACCGCTCACTCTGCGTCGGCACTTTTGATCTCAATGTTCCAGTTTATACACTGCGCAACTCGGATAATACAATATATGACAACCACCTATAATAAAACAGCAGTCTTCTGCGCATCCTTAATTTGTATCCCTGGAATGGATGTTATTTTGGAACTTTCAACTGGTCCGAGTGAGCTAACTGATTCTTTAGCAATAAACTGTGACTCCAAAAATAATAATTACTGACACTGACCGCAACAAGCAGAGTATCAGGTGCGTTTTAATCATCCGCTTCTGCTTCCGGGATTGTCGGTTTAATCGTTTTAACCTATCAGATTAAAACAAGAAAACCGACAATTCCGAAGCAGAAGCAGATGATTAAAACGCACCTATTAAAAATATTGCGCCAAGATGTAGGCAACACGTAATAAGGGATCAAAATGGCGGAGTTTTCTATCTCCTTTTAAAAGGCACTCAGAAAGCTGCGCAGTGCGACCATTCTCCGTATAGTAAAAGAAAATCAAAGTATGTGTATATAACTCAATTTCTGTAAAAATTGACATGTCCTTTTTCTTTCGACCATAAAGTTGACGTTTACAATTGAGGTTAATAGTTGACTTTGACTGTTGACAGTTATTGTTCTTCATAATAAAAATTTTGTATTTTAGACCAACTCTTTGAGATATTTCGTGGAATTCCTAAACCTCTGCGTAGATCGAAATTTCGACATCCCATTCTTAAAATCGAAATTAGACGCTTTCAGATCATCGATAGATAAATGTAGAAGATTCAGCGTGCTATCGGAAAACGATCATGAAATGACGTACCTTACGAATAAAATTTGGTTGGAAACGACTGCGCTATATCTGCTGTCTTCCACCATACAGTTCAACGTGAACTCATCGTACGAGCAAATTCAGTTAGTGGAAAACTTTTGCAAGATCGATATGTCAGGCTACATCGATTGTCCGAACTTGAATGATCTGTTGAAGATTTTAAACATCGTTTATGAAACGAACAGTGAGGTTAGATTTGATATATCGATGTTTTTCGATAAAAAAAATGGCGGTAAAGCTATTACGAATTGCTTGAACGGACTTTTGGATGATAACATGTTCGAACACGCTTCGAAAATCGCTGAAATAAATAGGATTGTTTTAGATGAAATTTTGATCAAGAAATGGAAGTACAATTTCCTAAACAGAGATTCTAATGATGCTGATTTTTGGTCAAAGTGCGACGAAGAGTTTGAACATTTTAACGTTTCAGCTGATTTTGTGGTTGGTTTCTTTCTTCACTATGTCGATATAGTTGATGTCAAGTAAGTATCTTTATTTTATCAAATATTTTTTTTAATATGAGTAAATGGGAAAGCATAATGAGCACCCAGGCCATTGACCCTTTGGCACCATAATTTCTAATATATGTATTCGCTTCGTGCGCGATAGCAGCGCCAATTCGTTTTGGTACTAATGAACTATATCTGGGTATACTGACAAATACAATTTTTAATAGAATTCGTAATTAAAAAGTATATATGTTAGTTTTAATAAAAGTATATGGATTTGTAAAACAAGCAAAATATTAATGTATTATTATATATTTTTATCGCTTAAATTAAAGAAAATTATATATAATCAATAAAAATCAATAATAAAATATAGGCAGGCAACAGTATTTACTTGAATATGTATGAGAAGTTGCCTAAGTCTAATAAGTTGTCATTGAAGAATTAGTCTATTCTGTCAAAATAAAAAAATACCAGCGTAAAGTTAAAATGTATTAAAAATTTAAAACTCTAACTTCATAACACCAGCAGAGCTTATTTGTGGCCTCTCCAAAGTCTTGGACATCCTGTCAAGACACCAAAGTCAAATTGTTTAAATTTATATTATAAAATTTGTCACAAAACTAATGTAACATATTCAGTTTAACTAATGTCAAATTTAATTATTATTAGCTCAACCATCATTGTAACTACGTGTCTTCCATCATATGTCAGTTGTCAAATGTCGTAAATCTCCACCATTTTCTCATTTAACTTCACCGTTGGTTGACGAAAGTGTCATAAGTGAATTTTTCCAAAAAACTTAATATTTAATGATACCTCTTAAGCTTAGGCTTAAGGGTGTACACGAGCGAGACTCTACCCCTACCCCTTTTGTACTGGGGATAGGGGGAGTAGCTGTATTTCACCTTTCCAAAAAGTAACACTTTCCACATGGTGCCTTAAGCACACATGTGGAACTTCAAAATTTATCTTATTCGAAACCACCTTCATCAGATGGAGGCAGGCGAAATTCAAAACTAGAACTGGATCCAACCTCGAATGAGGGAGACAGTGTGTGCCATTTTTTTACAATTTTTACATTTTACAATTTACTTAAATTTTACATTTTAATTCAATATACTTATTTTTCTGTGGACACATAGTGGTAAGACACCTAGCATTTCTATAAAAAACGTTTTGTTATACCTTAAATTATTATTGCAGATTGTACCTACTCACAAAAATTTTTTTGCATGATGACCTTTTAGGTCGAAAGCGCTTGCAACCTAATAAATTTATGTGGTCGACAGACTTTGAGCTTTTTACTTCCCTTTAAATATATGTTATTTATTAAATATTTAATATGAGTAGATGATAAATTGGATGCATAATGAGCACTTTACTCATTGACCCTTGGACACCTGCGTCTCTAACAATTTTGGAGACAACTTACATTGGCTGATCTAGTTTAAAAACACTATCTTCTGTTTTTACAAACCTTAATTAGATTTTTGTAAAATAGAAATGTGTGCGTCTTTAAAACTTTTTTTATTTAAATGTTTTTAAAAACCTCGTTTTTAAACTTTAAAGATAAAATTTTCAAAAATGTTTCCTCGTAATTTCCAAATTTTTCTTTTAAGTCATACATACGAATATAAATATTTCTACTTTGATAGTTCTTTGGTATTATTTAAAATATTAAATTTCCAGCGTCGAGAAGTATCAGTTATTAAAATTGGCACATCAGTGGTCGAAAAAGCACAACTTACCGATCAAATACAATCTAGAAAAGCGAAAATGGCTCGCTTACGTATCTTTAGAAGAAAAATGGCGGACGATGGACGCCGTTCTCGTAGAAGAAATGCCAATTACTCTTCTGTTCAAAGAAATGGCCGAACTATTAACGCAAATTTCCAAATACGAAGAAGACGTCTCCACTGATGCGTTTAATAGTTTAAAAAGTACTCTTAACGATGCTTTAAATGCGAAAAATCTATGGTTGGCTCTCAAATTAGAAAAAATGTTCGGCTGCACCGACAATAATTTAGACATTTTAAAATTGTGTCACAATTTAGCCGAAGGTTCGATACTACCTTACCAGCTGAGTACTGAACAAAGACTGTTGATTACCAACGGGACCCATTACAGAAGATTTAGCCACAGAAGAGCTTTTTTATCAGCCAGACTGAGCTCTTCTAGTAAGCAAATAATATCTTTGTGTATACGGCAACCGATCTTTAACTGTTAAAACGTGTTTTAGCTTCTCACTCTCCAGCTAGCGCATCTTACTTGCAACAATCCGATGCCATAGATGCTCCGGTACAAGATACGTTGGCAGTGTTGTGCAACCTAGCCGAAAAAGTTACTAGCGGAGTAGAAATGGCGCAGTCAGTTTATTTGACGTATAGGATAAGCGTCAACATCGAAATCCCCTACCATCTAATCGTGTCCAATACGGATTCCATGAAGATGTTGAAGGACGCTTTGGAGGACGATTGTCTCAACAAATTGGAAGTGGTTCATGACTTTTTTTCGGTGTATAAGTGGAATAGAGACCAGGTAAATATAAAATTAATCAAATATTCTCTTGCAATGTGTTTTAATGGATTTTATGCTTATGACCTTAAATTCTAATTGACGGGTGACGTTTAAAATGACAAGTGATGCTTGATATTTGATTCAGAGTTTGTTTTTCATGCATAATTACTCTATTTAGGGAGATTTTTATAATACAGCTATTTTTGTTGTTAGATAACGGATTTTATATGCGAAGAAATTATCAATTCTGCTACTAAATACATTAAAGCTAAATTGGATCACTACGTTATGTGGGATTTGAAAATGGATCAGGATTTTCATATGGCGTTGCAACTTCTTCAAGACAATTGTTCTTTATTGGGATATAAAATTTATTCGTACGCCAGCGCCATGCATAAATCTCAGGTAAGTATTAATGAGTGTGTTAATGCGTGGTAAAAAACAAACGTACAAAACAATAACAAAAAAGGAGCAAAATAAAACACGGATCAAAAAACACAAAAAATGTAATTAAAAATTAACCAAAAAAGTAAAAGAAGCAGTCAGCCACAGACTGTTTTTCTCATTTCTACTTAATCTTTATTTTCTTTTTCCTATATCTATGGTTAAAATATAATTTCAACATTTACAGTTAAAATTACCCAATCTTTCAGGTCCTCGCCGACTTAGACTTCAGAATAAGCAAGCTAGCCCTGGTAATCGAACTCATTATCATATCGCACGATTGCTTTACGGCTGATTGCAACATGGAGGGCATTTCGACGATCCTAAAAAAATGCCAGGAAATCATATCCCACCTCCTCACACTGAGAAGTTGGAAACTGATCGTCAGACTACTAACAGGCGTCGGTAGATACACCGAAATGAACTACGTGTTTCAAATTCTCAAAGAAAATGACCAATTCGAATTTTTGTTGCGCAAAGGCTCCAGAAAGGACAATGGTTTGAAGACGGCCTTGTTGGAGTATTTGAAAAAATTCTGTCCCGATAACAGGGAGTTGTACAAGATCGTGGCGTTGCATTTCACTCTGTTCTCGGAAGTGGCGGTGCTATGGGAACGCGAAGCTCAGAGTGTTATCAAAAATTTGATCGCCATTTCTAGATTGGAAATGCAGAACAACAAGTTGAATCCTGAGACCGAGCCGTTCGTGTTGTTTAGTAATGCCGATGGGACCAAAATATGCCTAAAAAAAGTAAGTGAAATTACAAAAAAAAAATGTATATTATAATCAATATAAGTCTATTTTTTATTACATATTTTGGGAGTGAATTTTCTTATTTTAAAATATTCGCGCTTATCTAGTATCAAATCACTTATTTCGAATTTCCAACTCCGGCTAATTCATGCGCCTCCTGGACTTAAAACGAGTAAAGCGACCTTGAATTAGAATATCTAAAATTTCTTCGACCACCTCGAAATGTGCCATGTGTGCCATTATATCCGTTAATTATATTTTCTATAACAACAAAAACCGGTAGACTGTTATAAATTTATATATGTGTATTTGGGCCCGATCTTAGCTGTGCATCGATCATACTGCTACTACTACAATCATATCTCCCGGAATTAATGCAACAAAAAGTAAACACGTTTGAGATTCGTTTACTGTTATTTTTTTAGTGTTTAAAATTAGCCCTTTTCGTAGTATTCCATTCGTTCTACTTCATTTTTTGGTCCCTCGAGCCAGATATTCCCTTAACACCAGCATGTCCCTTTGAAGCCTAGTGTGTTTCTAAGCTCCATTTAAAATATTTTTTTTAATGTTGGCTGTCTATTTTATATTAAGACAAGAAAAATGATTTTTATGTCTCCTGTAAAATATCTCTACTCTGACTCTTGATAGTTAGCCATAGATGTATTCTTTTTTTTTTACTGTATTATTTCCTGTAGGTTCTTATTTTTCTTTCATTTTTTCTTTTTTACATTTTTATTTTCCTAGGTTCTTTTTTCTTATTTTTTTTCTTATTTTTTTTCTTATTTTTTTTCTTTCTCCTTTTCATAAAATTCCAAATCATTGACGGTATGGGTTCGAAATTGAGATAGCAGTGCCACCTAATACACTCGACGGAATTACTTGTTTATACGTATTTACAGATGGCTCGCATTAGTTTACATGTAGGAAACTGTTTTCGTTTCATTTTTCGATCAATAATAATAGTTGGTCTTCAACTTTATTTATTTATTTATTTATTTCAAATTAATAGTAAATTATAGTTGAAATGACACGCAGATTGTCTGTCTAAAACCGTCTATTTATCTTTCTTTATCAATAGTACCTTCACCATGTCGTGAAGTATGTCTAAACCATTCTTGTCCCTTCTAACAAAATGGACATTTCTTCATTTGATATTGTGAACATTTTTTTAGATTTTGAGACTAAAGGATACATTAGAAAACTTTCTGAAAGCGATATTAATATTGAATCTAACAAAATTTGGTATTTGCTACATTTTGGAATAACAAATCCAAATAAAATAATTTGTGTTGTTTTTGATGCATTTGCAAAAAAAATCAAGGTATTTCCTTTACACAAGGCTGTCATGCTCAGCGTATTTTGTGGAGGAAAATGAATAAAAAATTTGAGTCTGACGTGTACGAAATTAAACGTGTACGAAATTAAAGTAGTATTCTTTGGCATAGTATGAAAAATTTTTAGACTTGAGACTAAAGGCTACATAAGAAAACTTTCTGAAAGTGAGATTAATATTGTATCTGACAAAATTTGGTATTTGCTACATTTTGAAATTACAAATCCAAATAAATTACGTGTTGTTTTTGATATATCTGCAAAAATCAAGGAATTTCCTTTATCGATTTTTATAACTCTGTATAAAATGTTGATGAATTTTAGGACTGAAAAATACGCTTTCACAGCAGATATTAGAGAAATATTTTTGCAAGTCAGAGTAAGGCCACAAGACTGTCATGCTTAGCGTATTTTGTGGAAGGAAATAAATCGAAAATTTGAAACGGACTTGAACAAAAATAAAATAGTTTTCTTTAGCTCAACAAGAGGCTAGAATTGATAGCATCCACAATGGGGGTGAAATTAGCTGGTTATTTAAAGGAAAATTTTAAAAATTTCAAATGTTTTTTATTGGTGTGACTCGAATGTTTTACATTGGATATGTTTGTAACGTCATCTCTAGTTATTCTATCTACTTGTTTAATGTGTTTGAGCTTAATTGATTGGGCGTGGGTTAGGTTATTAAATAACTCGAATAACTTTGAAAAAGAAGTTGGGCACCACTATATTTAAAGCTTCCTATACTTGACTTTAGATTAGTGATAAAAATATAGAAAATCACTAACCATTAACAAATAATATTTAAACCATGCTTTAGATAAGGTAGTAGCAAATTCTAATTCACATAGTTTTACCAAATTCAAATTTAAGATGATTTATTAAATAAAACTTATCTTTTGGTAAATGGAGGTAATATAAGGAATGTTTTATCGCATGGTATATCCTCAGGCAACTTCCTCAAAGGGATTCGGGATCCTTATTCGTAATTCTGCAACGTGAATGACCTCGTGATATTTGGTATTCTAACTTAAACTCGAAACTGTCTAGATCTTCTAGAGATAAATCAAACCATGTTCTTCAGATTGTACCAAAACCAAACAAACTTCTAGGTATAAAAACCATAAAACATCTTGAAAGGAATTTAGTACATCGAATGACCAAGATAATTATATTAAAAATCAAATCAAGTTGATTCGTTGACATCCAAGTCAAAAAATAATTCTCACAAGACGAATAAAGGAAGAAGAAAACGACAAATGACATTTAAGAGGTGATTGTGTCGAAATAACGGTTCCAACCGTTACACGTTCTGAGATTTAAGATCTGACCGTGTAGGGGAAATCCAAGTACTATCAACTGTAACAGACTATAGATTATGTTAATTTAAAAACAATGTAGAAGGTGAAGCTACTAAAAGACCTAGTGGCTCATATTTTAGTAGTAAGAGTAGGTGAATCACTGGTCTAAAATTTTTGTTGTCTAGCCTGGAAAATAGGCCGCAGAAAACAGAACAGTCAGTTTGATACATTAGAAATGAAACAGACATATTGCCGTACACAATCCAAATTATTTTTTAATGTAGACAAAGTTCGTACGTTCTACAGCAAATCTTTTGCGCTTTCTCGAATTAATAAAATGCATATATTTAACTAAGGGAGAATTCAAATAGATTCACATAGGAGATTGTTGGGACAAATTTTAGTTGAGAGGTACCCTGACGAACATGTTTTAAGAACCTTCTTTATAGTACATGAGATTATTTTAAACTGCAGGCCTTGATTCATGTATCTTTTGATCCAGCTGATCCAGAAGCTTTAACACCCAATTATTTCCGTATCGAGCCTTCTTCAGTTATTCTCTCTGGCACAGAAACAAATACAGATACAATTAAGTCGGAACCATGAGGGAATCTTTTTTATTCTTAGTTTTATGAAAAAAAGTAATTCTTTATAAAAAGTTCTGCATGGCCCAAAACTTAAAATGGTTGTATTTTAGGTTTTAGGCCATGCATTACGAAGAATACATTTTTTCCTAATATTAATAATATAAAAAGTTTTTCATGTGCCGTCAACTTACGTAGACAGTTGGAACACACAGTATAATATATGGTCGTTAACAATAATATCTAAATACAATTTGTTGGACGATTTTTAGACAAACAATCTGTGTGCATCATTTCAACTAGAATTTACTATTATTGTGAAATATAGAAATAATAGGTATCGTTATAAAAAAAATTCTCATTTTTATTGTTTTTTTGGTGATTTTAGGCAATCGAAAACTACACTCACGCCACGGAGTTTCATCTACAGGGCGAAAAGTTGGCCAAAGCCATGCATTCGGCCAAACAAGCCGAATTAATAGCGTTACAAATGTCTTTGTTGAAAGGATTACCAAATAATGGAACGGCTTTGTGTTTGCTTAATTTGCATCAAAATCAGATCTCTAATATAATCGCCAATCATCTAAGGTAAAATGTTGTTATTTAAAACATTGAATTTGTAAAAGTTTTTTGCACCAATTTTATTGTGGTTTCGATACGGTGTCAAAAGAACACGAGTAGCGCCAGATGGAGTTACGGAATATTCCAGTGGTCAGACAGTTCTTGACTCCAATTTCAGAAAAGGATATTAACAGGCTTTAATTTATCACTATTGAAACAAATAAATTTCTGGTACAGTAAAAGGGGGTTTATACTTGGTTAAATAACCGCAATTATTTACAAAAACTACATTTACAATGATATCGATGTAATTTACGAAATTAAATCCTTTATATCTTACAGCTTCGACCAAGCTCTAATCCTGGTCCAATCCTACAACTACCAACCTGATTGGGCGTCCGTTCTTTTCGAGCATTGCATCATCAAAAACGACCATCTTTATCTCAAATCTTTCCTCAAACATCGCCCTCTAGCTGAATCTTTAGTGCATGACGTCTCTAGAAAGTTTATGTCGGCCAACATCGATACTCCGCGTGAATTGAACAGCATGAAGGCCATCTTGAACAAAGTGCCATCGGTGCACGTCAAATATAGGATAGCCAGTGAGTTGGGATTCACCGATATCGTCGAGGAATTGATCAGAGGCGGGCAGTTGGCTTATTTAAAAGATACTGTTTGGAAGAAAGGGTATAAAGGATGAATAGAGTTTTAATCATACCAACGTTCTTCTTTGACCTGCCAGTGATGACTGATTTTTATATTTTTTTATTTTTACTGTTTAGAAATAATTTTTATGTAGGTAAGTAGAAAAAGTATATTGAATAGAATTAATTGTATTCGTAGAGTGTTTTTGAAATAGATGTGCATATTAAAACTGGTTGGACTTTCGTTGAATGCACAAAAATACAGAGCGAGACTGATGTATGGAACGTTCCAATTATTTCGGAAACGGCTTGTATGATATTTATGAAATTTGATTTGAATATGGCCGATTTTCAAGTTGAATTTACGTTGTTAGATATTTGTTTTTTTTTTTTCAGTTTTAAATTGGTTTACAAATTCTAAATATTTTTCATGTAGTGTTTCCTATGCCTGAATATCTTATGTTAAATTTTGAAATAACAAAGTTCGTTATATTTTCGGAAAAATGAAAGTTCTGACAACACAAATACTACTTAAAGATCTACCGTATAATTTTAGTTTTGAATGCTTAGATATACCAAATGTGTAAGATATATGGATTTTAACGGTGGTACATTTGAACTACTCACTTAAAATCCGGTAAATTTATCAGAAATATTAATTTTGAACGTTGAACATTTCAACTACTGACTTTTAATTTAGTAATTTATCAGAACTACAATTTTCGAACGTGAACCTTTTGAACGCGGAACATTTGAACTATTCACATTGATTACATCAAATGTATCAGCAATATGAGTTATAACGGTGGTATATTTGAACTACTCACTTTAATAGCAGTCAATTTGTTAGAAATAATAATTTCGGACGCTGTATATTATTTGAACTAGTGACTTTGATAATAGTAAATTATCCGAACTACAATTTTCGAACGTGGAACTTTTAAACTATTCGCTTTAATTACACCAAACTTATCAGATATTTGGGTTATAGCGGTGGTATATTTGAACAACTCACTTTAATTGATAATTTAACAAAACTAAAAATTTTTAACGTATAAATTTTGAATGCGGGGCATTTGAACTATTCACATTACATCTGAAATATGAGTTTTAATGGTGGAATATTTGAATTACTCACTTTAACAGCAGTCAATTTATTATAAATAATAATTTCGAACTGTATATTATTTCAACTATTGACTTTGATAATCAGGGGCGGCTCGTCACCAAAATTTTTGGGGTTCACAGTAGCAGAATATAGATCCCGGTACAGATATAGGTAAAAAACTGTCAGTGTTTTAGAAAGGTATATTATAAACTTTCTAAAACACTGAAAGTTTTGTTCATACAACTGCAGTGATACGTATATTCTGTCACTGTGAACCCCCAAAATTTTAGCCACGAGCGGCCACTGTTGGTAATAGTAATTTATCAGAACTACAATTTTCGAACGTGGACCTTTTGATCACGGAAAGTTTGAACTATTCGCTTTAATTACACCAAATTTATCAGATATTGGGTTTTAACGGTATATTTGAACTACTTACTTTAATAGCAGTCGATTTATCAGAAATCATAATTTTGAACGTTGTACATTATTTGATCTACCAACTTTAATAATAGTAAGGTATCAAAACTACAATTTTTGAACGAGGACCTTATTAAAACTACAACTTTTGGAATATGTACCTTTTGATCACGGAACATTTGAACTATTCGCTTTAATTACGCCAAATGTACCAGATATTTAGATTTTAACGAAGGTACATACAAAGTGTTACATATGAACTACTGATTTTACTACCTTTACATTTATCAGAACGTATATTTTTGAGCGTTGTAAATTTGAACTACTCATTTTAATAATAATTGGTAATTTATTAGAAGCACAATTTTTTAACTTGAAACATTTGAACTACTAGATTTAAACGCGGTACATTTGAACTATTTACCTTAATTATAGCAAATTTATTATAAATATAATAATGAAACATTGTTGAAAATTACAAAAATAAAATGCAAGGGCGAGATTTCGCCTTTAGCTATTCTTCAGCTTATTCTTCTATTATTCTTTTATTAATAGGAAATAACGAATACAAAATATATAAATAAAATAGAAATTGGGAAAAATGTATTTTATGGGAGTTACGTTTGAACTATTCAGTAAATTATTTAAGAGAAATATTTTTAAACGTTGTACATTTGAACACAATACTTTGAACTATTCAGTCTAATTTAACCAAATTTTTCAGACCTCTAGTTTTTAAATATGGTACATATAAACTACTCATTTTAAGACCGGTAATTTTATCAGAAATATTGTTGTACATTTGAACTACTTTTTTGATAATTGAAAATTTATCAGAGGTACAATTTTCTACCCTGAAACATTATTTCACTCAAATACCAGTAAATTTATCAGAAATAACATTTTTAAACAGTTTTTTTTTCAAGTTGTACGTTTGAACTACCCGATTTAATAATCATATGGGGTAAATTTTTAAGCGGTAGACACACAGTAAAAAAATTAAATAGAAGAATTTCACGTTAAAACTAGTGGCATTCGGTTTTGGACATCATAATATTCTCCTACCAGTGTTAATATGTACATACAAAAGGTGTCCATTTATAAATTGATACATTTCAGAAACTTATTATAACTCGATTTTCCGATACTTTCCAGAAAACAAATAATCGTGACAACAGTGTTAACAAAAAAAGTTGTTAAAATGTGTTAATTTATAGATGTACACCTTGTATTTTAAAAGCACCCTTTGCATAAGAAATATTTGTATTGTTGATAAGACCCACTGTGATTGTATATTCTTATTTATCTATAAACTGATGAAGCATGTACTGTGATATATGTAAACACTAACTGAAATATATATATTTTTAAATCATGATTTATAATTATTATCCTATATAGCGTACTTTTTAAATTTTGGAAATTGGAATTTTTGTATTCCTTGTAATGAAATTTAAAAATTAAATATACATATTTAGTTGAAGGTAATCGCGTTGGATACACTTTCCTCGATTTTCCTTGGGAAAATTTGTATAGTAGATCTGGCAACACTGCACCGCACGCTTCAATGGTAAGTACGCTTAATAATTACCCAGAAACTTGTCATAAAATGGCAACACCGCTTTTCAAGTAGGCCGTCCAGATCGATAGATCCCTTCTTAGATAACTCGCCAACGCTCAACATGGGTTTGCAACTGTGCTAAGGTGAGCAGAGGGTGAAATAAGCTACGCCCCCTTAATGTAATATAAGTATTTTTCTAAATATTTGAATTTTTGTATTTTTTGTAAAATCAGAACCACATAAGTGAAATTGAAAAAATATATATACAGGGTGTCCCGAAATTAGACGGTCATATTTTAACAGCGTAATCTACATCCTAAAATAGGAATATAAACATATAGGTCCGAAAACGTTTAGTTTTTGAGATACAGGGTGTTACAAGTGAAGTCCTGATGGCACATTTTTGTAAATATTTTCTAAAATTTCTTTAGTCACCGGTTTTCCAAAGCAAAATAAAATTATTGTTTACACTTTCGAATAACATCATGAAATTTTCAAATGCTTTTTTCTTGAAAATGGTGCGTCCTAGCGAGATGCAACAGAAGTAGCTTTATTATAAAGAAAACATTGGTTTTCCAAATTTTATAGTTAAAAATGTTAAAAACTGTCAACAAAAAAAACTTAAGGCAATTTTACCCTAAGCCCCCCTAATTTACCCACCCATGAATATGATCAAAAACTGGGGTTTAGTCCATTAAATAGAACGTTAAAAAGTAAGCATTTGTACCAAATTTCACTTAGTTATCTTTAAACGTTTAGAAAATATTTACAAAAGAGGTGTCATCATGACTTCACTTTTAACACCCTGTATCTCGGAAAAGAAACGTTTCCGGACCTTTATATAAACTTTTGCTCCTATTTTAGAATGTAGATTATGCTGTTAAAATGTGACCGTCTAATTTCGGGACATCCTGTATATATTTAGTGTAAGGTAATCGCGTTGGATACACTTTCCCGGATATTTCTCCAAATCTGGTGAAATTTGTAGAGTAAATCAGGCAACACCGCACCTCGTGCTTCAATGGTAAGTACGCCTAATAATTACCCAAAATCTTGTCATAAAATGGCAACACCGCTTTATTTCCATTTATTTATTTATTTCTAAATAAAATCAGCAGAGTCGAACTTGGGTAAGTCTCCTTGAACGAAAATAAAAGTTCGGTTATATCGCCTGAATTTAGAGATGGGTAGTAACAAATCGGTAAATGTACATAACAGTTACAGATTTGCTAATATCCATCTCTAAATTTCAGTGTAACACCGGAACCACCTGGAACTTTAGAGACGTTGTAACCGAACTACGATTTTAGTTCAAGGACGACTTACCCAAGTCCGACTCAGGTAAGTTCTGTTTATAAATAGGGGCCTTAGATAACTCGGCAAAGCTCAACATGGGTTTGAAACTCGGCTAATGTGAGCAGAGGGTGAAGTTAGCGACGCTTTTACACATTTATATCTATCTTTCTGTACAAATAATTAATATACGGGTGAAAATAACCCTTAATATTATAAAAAAAATCCTATAAAGGCGATCTGATCCCAACTTGCCTTTTTACATTAAAAAAATAACACTAACATACAATGTAAGCAAAAATCTCTTCGGACCTGTTAAACAGGGTCAAATTAACCCCTTAAAATTAAAAAAATAATTACTTTTTAAAGCCGCTCAGATCCCAACTTGCTTTTAGATTTAAAAACTCATAAATACACTTACTAAAAAACAATCTAAGGGAAAATCCCGCCGGCCCTGAAATTTTCTTATAATTAAAAGTAAATAATTATATGATGGCGATGAGATGCCAGCTTTCTTTCACAATAAAAAATACAATAATTACTATCATACACTGCAAACGAAAATCCCTTCGTGAAATAAACCCTTAAGCTCCAAAACAAATAATTATGCTATGAAGGCCATCAGATCCCAACTTGATATTTCAATAAAAAAAACATAAATCCACTTACTAACTTTTAGTTTAAAATAAAATCTCTTCGGACCAGTCAAACAGGGTGAGATTAAGCCTTTAAATTCAAAATAAATAATTATCCTATGAAGACGCTCAGATCAACTTAGTTTTGCATTTAAAAAATCATAAATACACTTTCTAATACACTGTAAGTGAAAATCCCTTCGGTCCCGTCAAACAGGGTGAAGTTAACCCTTAAATTTCAAAATAAATAATTATCCCGCGAAGACGATCAGATCCCAACTTGAATTTACATTTAAAAATCATAAATACACTTATTAAAACACACTGTAGGCGAAAATCCCTTCCGAAAGGATTTTCGATAAATTGTTTAGGATAATTATTTTTTTGACGTTTAAGGGTTAATTTCGCCCCATTTGACGGGTCCGAAGAAATTTTTGCTTGTAGTCTATTTTAATAACTGCATTTATGATTTTTTAAAACTAATATTAATTTGGGTTCTGATCGTCCTCATAGCACAATTATTTAATTTGAAGTTTAAGGGTTAATTTTACCCTGTTTGACGGGACCTAAAGGATTTTTGCATGTAGAGTATTTTAGTAAGTATATTTATGATTTATTGAAAGTAAAATTAAGTTGAAATCTGATCGCCTTCATAGGGTAATTATTTATTTTGAAGTTTAAGGGTCAATTTCACTCTATTTAACGGGTCCAAAGAGATTTTTGCTTACATTGTATTTTAGTAAGTGTATGATGTTTAGATTGTAAAATTAATATAGCATCTCATCGCCTTCATAGGGTAATTATTTATTTTGAAGTTTAAGGGTTAATTTAACACAGTTTCATGGGTCCGAAGGGATTTTCACTTACAGTGTATTTCAGTAAATGTATTTATGATTTTTTAAATGTAAAATACAGTTGAAATCTGATCGCCTTCATAGAGTAATTACTTATTATGAAGTTGAAGAGTTAATTTCACCCTGTTCGACGGGTCCGAAGAGAATTTAGATTATTTTAGTTAGTGTATTTATGATTTTTTAAATGTAAAATCAAGTTAGAATCTGATCGTCTTTATAGGAAAATTATTTATTTTAACATTTAAGTGTTAATTGTTAATTTCACCGTTTGACGAGACCGAAGGTATTTTTGTTTACAATGTATTTAAGTAAGTATATTTATGATTTTTTGAATGTAAAATCAAGTTGGGATCTGATCGTCTTCATAGAATTTTTTTTTAATGTTACGCGTTAATTTCACCCTGTTTGAGGTTCCAAAGGGATTTTCGCCTACACTGTTTTGTAGTAAGTATATTTTTATGATTTTTTGAATGTAAAAGCAAGTAGGAATTTGATCTCCTTTATAGGATAATTATTTTTTGGGTTTTTAAGTGTTCATTTCACCATGTTCGACGAGTCCGAAGGGATTTTAACTTACAATGTATTATTGATTTTTTTATTGTGAAGAAAAGTTGGAATGTGATTGTCTTCAAAGGGAACTATTTATTTTTAATTATAAGGGTTAATTTCAGTCTGTTTGACAGGTCTGAAAGGATTTTCGCTTACACTGTTTTGTAGTAAGTGTAGGTATTTATGATTTTTTAATTGTAAAAGCAAGTTGGGATCTGATCGCCTTTTAAAGGTAATTATCTTTTTAATTTTAAATGGTTAGTTTCGCCCTGTTTGACGGGTCCGAAGGGGTTTCAACTTACTGTGTATGTTAGTAATTCTGTTTTTTATTTTTTGAATGCAAAATCAAATTGGAATTTGATCGCCGCATCCTAGGGTAAATATTTATTTTATGTATCAAGGGTTAATTTCACCAACGAGCCCGAAGGGATTTCTGCTTACATCGTTTGTTAGTAAGTTTAATTTTTTAATGTAAAAGCAAGTAGGACATTTATCGCCATATTTTTTTTTTTTTTATTTTTAAGGCTTAATTTTACCCTGTTCGCTTATAGCTTACGTTAGTAAGTGTATTTTTTTTATTTGGTGTCATCGGCATCGACTGCTAAGGTCATTAGCCTAGTAAGTGTATTTATGATTGTTTAAATGTAAAAGCAATTTAGTATCTGATCTCCTTCATAGGATAATTATTTTGTTAATTTTAAGTGTTATTTTCACCCTATATAAAAACGATTGATGTGTAAAATATATATTGACAAGATTATTAAAATAGTTGTAGCTCGGACGCCACTGTTATCCCGATCGGGTGTTTTTGGTTATTTTTACTGCTAAAAGTTACTGATAACTTCACACTGGTATTAACATTTCATATTATATTTAAATTAAATTTAAAATTGTGTTAGTATCTAAAGCAAATAATACAAAGAGTATAAAAAGCAAAGAGTATAAAAAGCAAAAACCAATAAGATTTTTTTGATTCGAAGATTGACTATCTGTCTAGTTGAAAATTGAAGTAGAGGCAGCAAAATAAGCAAGCAACATCAATTAAGCGGTTACAAGTGGTAATCAGGAGGCTACCCTCGAAGTAAATAACGAAAAATACAAAGCGGAGGGTATCGAACGAGCCATTAGCACCATCCAAGGAACGATTAATCATACCCTACCCTGTTCAATCTAAACTAAACTCCATAGCCCGGTAGCTTATTTTACTTTCACAATGCATTTTTAAATAGTTACCTAAGAGTTTATTAAATCGTTTAACACAAAAACGTCAATGCAGAGAAAAATTTAGGTTAAGATTGTATTTAAAATTCTGTCTAATTCTAGACAAATTACGTTGGTCATAAAGAACATTAAGCATCATTATTAAAGAGCGATTCACAAAATATGTTTCTAAAGTAGGTCATGACTCACAAAGACTAATATATGAGTCATGTCCGTGAGAATTATGCGCACGGCTCTGAATTAAATATGTATCTAGTAGCTCTAA